AGAAAGGATCTGCTTAACACACAGCAGTGACTATTGAACACGCACACCATGAACACACACCTGGAGAAGTGGGCAGCCATTTTTGCTGCGGCACCTGGGGAGCAGTTGGGGGTTCGGTTCTTGCTCAAGGGTCTCACCTCAGTCGTGGAAGAGAGCGCTGGGCATTCACTCCCTCCACCTACAATCCCTGCTGGACCTGAAACTCGAACCCGCGACCTTCGGGTTACAAGTCCGACTCTCTAACCATTAGGCTCTTAAAGAGGTATCTCGCCAAAATACTCTTCTGTAACATTTAATGTTTTATTCTGTCATCATTCAGGTTACCCTCATGTTGCATGGTTTTTATTCAGATTTTTGGAAGAATTTCCCAGCTGCTTATTTCCATATATGAATACATACAGAAGCTAAAAAAAAAGGATATAAAAGCACCAAAATAGTTCATGTGACTCACCATGTCATATTTTTAATATTTGACAGATTTGAGTGCTAGTGAAGTTTTATTATTATTTCTAATTTAACTTGAATAAAATGAACTCTTACAGCCCTTTATATTCAGTATATATACTATTTTTACTTATTAATACAACAAATTAATATTTATGTAAATATTTTTTAATAAAATACTTAAAATAAACTTTAATTAAAATATATTTATTTGAATAAATATAAAATAATTTCTATCAGCACTTTAAGAAGTATATACCATTCAGAGGTTAGTTCGGGGTCACTTTTTACTTTTTGAGACTTTTATTTAGGAAGGACCCAAAATTTACTGAGATTTGAGAGCAAATGGATTTTTTATTTAACTATTATTTTAAATTTAATTTAATAAAATAAACTCTTACAGCCCTTTATATTCATTATATATAATATTATATAAATATAACTATATATGTATGACATTTATTATTTTTATTTATTATTCAATTCAATAAACATTTTTAATTGAAATAATTATATATACAAATTATTTAATTTAATATCTTAATTATTATTTAATAAATACACTTTTTAATTTAATTTAAAAGAAAATTAAGAAACTTAATAAATTGAGACTTTTTTTTTTCAAATTAGCAAATTAGAATGATTTCTGAAGGATCATGTGACACTGAAGACTGGACTAATGGCTGCTGAAAATTCAGCTT